CAGGATTTGAGCCAGCGTCTGCCATACCCAACCATTCGATATAACCGTTGCACTACAAGGCTATACTAATCGGTGCCCAAAACCGTTTCATGATGGACTCAACCTTTGCCTTGAATGATAGCAACTCCCGAATTACGAGTCTCCACCCTTGTCTAGTGCTACTGGTATACATTACATGTACATCTATGATCAACAGAGCCATGTATATTGCTCTGCCGCCCTCTACAGCATCGGCTAAGCAACTCAGAGAGTTAGAGCTAAGGAGCTCGGTAAGGGCGCCTTAGCGGTACTTAGCGCCTTAGCGTGGGCTGCCATTTTGCTGATGTGTCCACATCGTAGGCAAATTTGAGTGCCTCCGACGTCCCTATAGCTGTGGTCTTGCCGCGATACACGGTGGAGTGGATTTCGCTCGGAGCGTGTATTCGGTTCGGGCGCGTCTAGGGTTTTGCAAGAAGCCTCCAGGATGAGTTTCTGGGGACCCCTCTTGGGACTTTCATCGAATATAATGTGCAGCAGAGACATGGGAGATAAACAGGTTTGAATGCGAACGCCGAAACTGCAGAACGGACCAGACTCGCTACCAGTCCCCAAGCTAAGGGGCTTCTGCAACGAGACTAGGGATAAGCAAATCTGGGAATCAACTTCGTGTAATATTATTTGTGGCACCGGAAAGAAGCCAGACTTGAGCCTCGGGGTTTGTACATTACTAAGTATGTAGTAGTAGTGGCCTCTCAATTGACTTGTATTATTCTAATAGCTTCCTTTTCTTGGCCCCCTTTGCCTCGATTATGCCGGAGGCTTCAGCACTGGGACCCATTGATCCTCGTTCCGTGTCGCAGAGCGAAGAGGAAAGGAAAGCGCCATGGATAGTGCGCAAGCTCGCGGGCGTGAGTCGGCTAAAAGTCTGCGATATTTCATTGCTGATGGCAGCCCGAGTACGCGTATACTGTATCTAGTCCATGACGGGCAGGATCGTCATGTCCTCTTATGAATCCCTACGCGCCGCCGGAACCAGCGTCGTCTGTCTGTCGCCAGTGCGTTTCGTGTCGTCTACCAGCGGACATTAACCAATGCCTTTTCTTCCAGTGGGGCGACTCCTCTCCGCTCCTTCTGCCATGCATCCGATTCAGAGACCTGGTCATGCACTCCGTCATAGCAGCCACCGTGAGTCGCATGGGCACGACCGCGCACTTCTCTCATGACAGACCACGCAGGGAGGTACTGCTGCGATAGCAGCTCCGGTAATGGGCCCGATTTCAGAAGCCGTAGTCACTACGCTAGGCGACACGATCCTAGTCGAAGTGGGACTCCACACCGGATTTGAGCTTGCCACCAAGGGTGCCAACGATCTCCTGATCGAGCACCCCGTGAGCCACTTGATCCCGCTTCATTCCAAACGGCTGGAGACTACCGCCGTGAAAGAGCTCACGATTACGCTCAAGTACAAGCATACCGTCGAAGACGCCAGCCTGGGATTCTTCAGAAGTAGCGTGCATGGGTAGGCGTCTTTCCAGTTTTCCGTAGCGGAAAGAGATAATATTAAAAGCCGATTTTTTGCTCAGAGATAGCTCCCTGTTCGCCAGCGTGAAAGATTACTTGGCTGTGGAAAAGGGCTGGTTCTCTCCATACCTGTTCGCGAGCGGACGAAGGCCTATAATACCCCGCTCCATGAAGCCTGATGTCGTATTTTGCCACGGACCATTTCTATCAGGTCAACCGCTGAGCATACTCCCCCCTACCCCAGATGAGATTAACCCCGGCCTCCCCCAGGTGACTACAAAATCGGCGAAACCCTCCTGAATGAGTCTGCCTCAGTAATAACACTAGCAAACACCCCGCCCGCCGAGCCCGAACCGAAGCCAGAGGCGCACCATGCCTCCTCTGGCCTCAAAATCCCCACCCTCTCCAAATTCCTCGACCGCTCGCGCACGCCCTCCCCGGAGCCGGACCCCGCACTCGCAGTGCCCCCCGCCCCGCAGCCCCGTCGCCTCGTGATCCTCGTCGTGGGACTCAAGCCGCACCGCGCGGGCTTCTGGACGACCAGCCAGCGCCCGAGCGAGAGCGTCATCCGCTACCAGCTGCTCAACGGCTGCCCCGCCATTGTCGTGCCCGCCAAGGCCGGCGCGCCGCTCCTCGCCTGGGACACCCTGACGTTGGAGCACCTCTGGGCGGTGAGCCTGCCGCCTGAATCCGAGCCCGCAATGCCAGAACAGGCGCGGAGTGGGTTCCACGGCATCGTCACAGTGCTGTTCGAGTACCTGGATTTGTGCGTCGACTGGGAGCGGTTGGTGCTCCCGGAAGGAGAGAAGAAAGGAGACGGGATGGACGAGAAGAAGACTACGCTTAAGGATGCGGTCGCCCTGCTGGTCGCAGCGGCGGTGAGGAGCGGGGAGAGCAAGGAGGTGAAGAAAGAAGTTGACAAGGAGCGCAGCGGTATCGCGATCTGGCGTATTCCTTGAACTCTTTCCAGGGTGCCAGTGCTTCATATCAAAGTTCTCCGGCCCCGAGGATACCTTGCTTATACCCCGCGCAGTACGAACATTAACAGTGCTGTCATTCAAAGTACGTTATTATCGTGGACCAGGCATACAGCTATGTGCGATCATAGTAGGAGTGCAAGACATTATTATTTATGAGCTAGCAGCAGGACCGGGCGTCGTGTAGGCAAGTGGTGTTAAATATTGCGTTTTGAGTCGTCAGCATGAGCGTAAGAACTTGAAAGCAGAACTGGATTTGAACGACGTCAAAGAAGACCCATGAGTGAAGAAATATACCGGGGCGTGCATAGAGAAAGAGAGTTACGAGTCCGAGAAAACCTAGGCTGAACCGATGGACGGTCAAGCGGGGGCTTCGTCTCCTAAGCGCCTCGCGGCCGTGGAAGATCCCAGGTGTAGACGAATGTGCCTGGACGTGCCGTCAAAATATTTTATGCATGGTGAGCATTTTGCAAACTTTACGAGCGGGTTGATCACTCGGCGTCTATGTACAAGTCCTTGCGTGAAAGAGCCGGATCCGAAACGGTGCTTATGAAGCGGGCTGTTGTTGGGGCTTCCAGGGCCCATCCGTGTGTTGACCCATCACGAACACGACGTCTTCCTCCTCCTCTTCCTCGGCCTCGATGTCAGCGGACTTCATGTCTTCAGGAGAACTCGTACTCGAAGAGGGGTTATGTTCCGCCGAAGAATGAGACGGAGCCTCTGCTTGTCCGGGAGCAGCGTCGCTCTCGAAATGACTCTTGGCTGCACCTGGCAGGACGAACTGCTTCCACTGATCTCCTCCCATCCGAACCCAGTCATCGCGCAGTTCAACAGCTGAGGACAGAGAGAGAACGTCCTTGACCAAGTCGATGTCGACCGTCAAGTGACGAACTCGGTTGAAGGACGCCAGAAGGTGGACTGATACCCAACCTAGCGAGTCCATCTAACAAGGAGAAATTTGACGACCGTCAGTTGCTACGCATACATGCAGAATGTACTTTGACTGACCCTTTGCCTGAGGAAGAAATCTTGGGCCATGTTCTGCGGGCTGAGATAATATTCCAACTGCCCTAGAAGAGACTGCCTAAAAGGATCCAGAGGGAAGGACACAGCAGAAATGGGAGCCGGCGCGGGTGGTACAGTTTGAGGAATATGTATCGGCGGAACGTATGCAGCTGGATGGTAGCCTTCATAACCGGGGACCGGGCCATAGGGGCCAATAGGAGGCACGTAATATTGTGTCCCGTAGTCGGCCTGAGGCGGTAGTTGCTGGAAGTGCGACGGCGGTGTCACGTTAGGGTTATACCCCGACTGGCGCGACTGCTGGAAACCGCCTCCTCTAGAGAAATTTCGGGAGTCGTAGCCTCCCCTCCCGTACCCCCTCGGGCCACCCCGTCCTCTCCCCCTCCGTCCGCGCTCATAGCCGTACCCGGATTCGAACGAATGAGAGTACCCGCGAGCGCGCATACCAAACTCACGACCACTGTTTCTCGCCCGCTCCCGCTCGCGTTCCCTTGCAATACGCTCCTCCTTTGTAATAACGGGGGCAATGCCCGTCCCACTCATCGGCCCGAAACCGTAGCCATAGTCCTTCACCTCCCACTCATCAGACTCCGCATTATATTCAGGCTGGAGAGACTGATCGGCCGGGAAAGGATAAGGGACAGGCATCCCAGGTCCCGATGGGAGTCCGCTAGCAGACGTGGCGGGCGATGCTGACGATGTAGATAGCGAGGCCGACATCGACGCAGCAGCGGAGATGCCGTCGGGAGCGCGTACGGGAGAAGGCTGGGACAAATGAGGTGAAGGCCCACGACCAGGCTGCGGGGGCACAAGCAAAGCCTCATCCGGCTCATTGCGCATCGTAGACCCGAACTCCCACTTCGTTTCAGGATCCGTCAGGTCGATGACCTTGAATTCGACTTTATTCTCCTCCTTCGGACCTTCCCCGTTCTTGACGGGGTCTCCGTTATTCATCACGTCGGACATGAACCGACCCGGCGCCGTCTCAACTCGTCTTCGTCCTTTCGAGCTTGATTGCGTCCTTGACCTAGTCGACGGGCCTGGCTCACCTGGGCTTACCCCTATAGCAATAGTCTTGAACGTCTTGATGCCTTCTTCTTTCTCAGTAGCCTGGTCTCCAGTTGCGGTCTCTTCAGGCATCGCACTGGCCGTATTCTTCACGTCTTTCTTGAATGTCGACTCTACCGGAGCAGGACTTGGGCTTTTACTAGTGATACTGCCAAATACAACTGGCCTCTGCGGACGTCCCCGCTGACTCGCTTCTTGGGCACTCGATGTCGCCGTCTCGACAGGTCCGACCTCCCGGTAGCCAGCTACGGCTTCCGACTCACCGGGCGGTGGCGGTCTGACCATCGAAGTAGGCGGCGGAGCGCTCGGTTCGGCGCCGGCCTGTATTTGCACTGGGTCCTGTACAGGAGGAGGTATCGGAGACACCTGGGAGCTCGTCGGGTACATCGGCTGCAACTGTTCCTGCCCTGGCGCGTTGCCGTTCCAGTAAGGATATGGCTGGCCATATGGATACATATATGGTTGGTACATGGGGTAAGGCGGGGAGCCGGGATACATAGGGGAGACAACGCCAGGTTGAGAGGGGTAACCGTTCGAAGCAGGCATAGCGTACGGATTATGGGCTGGAGAGGTCGCCATGGGGTAGGCGTGGGTATGAGGACTATGGCCTGGCTGGACCGGCAAAGATAAATGCGGGAAGTATCCGGGACTGTTCGTGCCGGATCCTTGCGAAGAGGCGTATGGGGCAATTTGTGGCGGAGGGTAAGGCATGGGCATTTCCGTATGAGGCGGCGCCCCGCCGGGAAGAGAGCTTTCTACATTGAGCGGACGACCATAGCCGCTAGTGCCAGTCGGCTCCTCGGGAAGGCGCTTGCCGCGAACGCTCTGCCGAGGGCTGGACTGGACGCTGCTGGCGACGCTTTGGACTTGCGACTGCGACGCAGAGCCACGGGTGGAGTGTGCTCGACTGTGTCCTTGAGAAGCCGGGACGGATCCTGACGCGGAGGTGGAAGTAGATGCTTGCAAGCTATTGCGAGCAGATCCCTGCCTGTTGTGATAAGGAGCCTGGTTGCGAGACGACCCATACCGATTTCGTGGCCGCACAGCATCTGCTGCGGCCTGCAATTCTTCTGCAGGGATGGGTACCCACTTCGTTTTCTCGCCTAAAGGGTCCAGTAGGAAAGGAGGAGATGAGCATCGATGTAGCCGGCCATTAGCATGGTATTGCAACCGGGGGAGATGTAGAAAACTATAAAGATCATGTGAAGTTATGATACATACCTTTCCGCGGAGTAGCCGGCTGCGAAGTCTCCCCTGGTCGCTTCTCCTCTGTCTTTTCAACTTCTCCTGGTGGACTAGGCTGGATGGATTTACCAACTTCCGGCCAGCTCTCGACATCTTCCACAGACGGTGGTAGACTTGCGGGAGGGGTGGGTGGTAGACGAGTGCGAGGCTTGACGACGAAAGGGTCGTCTTCCACGGCATCCTTTACGTTCACAGAGGTACCATTCAAAGCAGGTGGTCGAGAGGTAGACATGGACGCTTGTATTTGCCCAGACGAGTGCGATAAGGGTGGATAGGAAGGACCAGTTCCGTTGATATGTACAGGTGAAGAAGCAGCAGCCGGTTTCTGAGGCGAACGAGACTGGGCGAAAGCCTGAGCCATTTGCTCCTTGCGAACGTTCCAGACGTTGACCGGCGGCGACTTGACGGGTGACGACTGCGACTGCGCCGACGAAGACGACTCACCGGCCTCAAGCACTCCCGCCGACGGTTCCGCCGACCCCTTCGCCTGCTGACTCCCAGGCGTCATATCCACACTCGACAGCGGTGACGAAGCCTTCGACCCGCTCGATCCGGTCATGTCTGTGCTGGAAGTGCTGGCCACAACCGAAGGTGCAGTGGCGGTCGATGAGATGGAATGATTTTGCGATGCGGTGGGATGCTGCTGCGAGCTCGCAGCTTTTGGCAACTTTGCGCTGTGGCCCTTCTTGGCCCGCTCCGCGTACGACAGTGTGTTTTGGCTCTTCGAGGCCGTCAGCGGCGCCGAAGAAACCATTTTCGAGGGAAAGTTGAAAGGGGGGCTGGATGAAGAACGATGTGGACGCGGCGGCGGAAAGATTGTGGCTCAGGGAAATTGCAGGGAGTTCAATGTCGATTGCACCCGATGGTTCGACCTCTAGGATTCACGGAACAGAGCCGAGCGATAAGATGCCAAGTTAAACGAAAAAATACAGGCTTAGAAAGCCTTTGAGGGTACGACGGACACGCAATTAGCGCGGTCGAGCTGCAAGCCTGGGACTCCGAGAACGGCAGCTGCGTGACAAGGCAGTCGCCGTTCGGCGCGCGTGCACTAAGTCGTAAGTTAAAGCTGTTTGGTGCGGTACCCGTCGGATCTATTGCAGTACATATACTTTATGTAAATACAAGGGCACATGCAGGGGATAGATAGGACTGATACAAAACCCTGAAGCGATCATGGAATGGGACGAGAACACCGACTCATGGGATGCGCCAGATTGCGACGCCACTTCTCGCCTTGTCCACCTGCTTCCTCACCTCCTTGCTCTCGCCACTCCTAATACCTGCAGCGACGACCAGCGACAGAGCGTCCCTCACTGCATCCTTAGCATAGCCAGACCGGCCTTTCGGAAGCACGACCCTGCCCCAGTCCACGCACAGATCCAGATACTCGAAGAGCACGTTCACGACTCCTTTGAACTCGCCACCGGCGTCCCCAAGCGATTTAGCATCCTCGTCGGAGGGTAGGGGAACTTGCCACAAGTGTTCGAGCGTCATGGTGTCCCAAGACACGAGCGGTGCACCAAGCCGAGCGGGCACGACGACCGCTGGGCATCCATTCAGTAGTTGATATCGGATGACGCTCTCGTCTGGACGCTGGCTCGTCGTCCACAGTTTACGATGAGGCTTGAGACCCACTATCAGGATGACCAAACGTCGTGGAACAGGTGCCAGCTGTTCTTGTACGGGTGCGGGCTCAGTGGGCTCCGCGGGTGGAGGCGGCGTATGCGAGCGTTTCAGCGGATTCGAGAGGTGCAGTTTGCTTGCGAATGAGTTGGGCTGCGACTGGGAAGCGGCTTCTGGTTCCGACGAGGGAGCCGCGGAGAAAGATATGGCCGACACAGATTCCTCCAGCAGTGTCTGACCCACTCTATAGTCGCCTGCAGTAGACATAGTCCAGAGTTCCTGTCGCGAGAGTAGCACGGGAAGCAGACTTACCGGGTAAGAAAGGGCCATGACAGAAGAGAACGTCAGGCTTCATGACGCGCGGTATCACAGGTCTCCTGGCACTCGCGAACAGGTATGGTGAAAACCATCCTTTCTCTACCGCTAAGTAATCCTTAACGCTTGCGAAAAGTGAAGTATCACTTTGAACGAGGGAGATCTCAGCTGCAACATCGTACTTCCACAGAATGATACTCACGCATGCACGCTACTCCGAAAGAACCCCAAATTCGCGTCAACGACCGTATGCTTATACTTAAGCGTAATCGTCAATTCCTTAACGCTCGTGGTCTCGAGTCGCGTTGAGTGAACGGGAATCAGCATATCGGTGGTCTCACCGAAGACCAGGTCGTCTGCGGCCTTGGTGCCGAGTTGGAAGCCTGCGTTTAGCCCTACCTCAACGAGAATACTATCGGCGACCGAGTCTGTCACGACATCGGATAGTGGCCCCATAATCGGAGTAGCGATGGCTGCAGTGCCGCCCTAGTATGAAATATCATTAGAAGTTCGAGGTCCAGATGTGCATGGTAATACGTACGGTTGCTGCGGTAACGGTTTCGACGGCTAGATCTCGGAATCGTATGCAGGGTAATACGATGAACGACGAATCTCCCCACTGCAGGCACATAAGGGCGATGTTATTCTCAGCTGCGTGGTTTGCAGCAAATATGACATACTGGGGACAAGCACACAACGCTGGTACCAGCCGCACGAAGCGACTCGTACGTGGACATGACGATCCTCCCTGTCATCGACTATTCATTGTCAACACCTCTCCTCGGCCGGAGAAGTACATGCCCGAGATACGTACCCCCACCACCTTCCTTGCAAGCCATGATGATGTCTTCTGCTCTTCTCCTTTGGGAACGGACGCTGGATCTATCGGCGCAAGTTCTGAAGCTTTCATTACCTTGAATTCTGGACGAATGAAGATATAAAGATTGATTCAATACAAGCGTAGTGCCTATATGATGCGCTCTTATAGCCCAGAAAATGAGGCATCATCATAATCGTCAGCTGGATCACTTCTTGATTCGCGAGCTCTAGGAGTGGAGGGCGAAACCGAGCCTTAACCCGTGAAGTGGAGAACGGGTGGAGACGTGGATTTGCAGCCCAACGACGCGTCGAAACGACTCCTTCGGTTCTGCCTAGCAGAGAGTGCAGCCGATACCAGACTCGTCGCGGGTATGCAGACAAGAATCCAACCATATCGCTGGCGCCATCGCTCGCGCTGGTCCGGTGTCCTCGGTGACTGTGTGGCAGTCAACAAGACATTGACCAGCGCGAACGATGCGTTGACACTCGTAGTGTATCAAGGGTCGATAGTGCAGGTAGGTAGGATGGAACGCAGGAAACAAGTCGGAACGCCAAAGCCACAAATTTGCCGATATTTGTCGCTCCCTCTGAATCAAGCGCCCGCTCGCCACCGTCCCTCGCATCCGTCTCGACGTTCTACACGACGTCGGAAATCGTGGTTTTGGCGAGCTGGAGCTTGATACATGTCTGTAGAAAAGAACTTGACGCTTCATTTGGTTTATATTCACGGGTTCCAAGGTTAGTCGTCGTATGTACTGCGTTAGTACTCACCAGCCTAAGACGAAGAGGGCATAAGGCGACCACACCTCCTTCCAATCCTTTCCTACCGACTTGCACAATAGTCTGCTCAAGAAGCTGCCGGAGGCCGTTAGTCTGGATAGCTGCCTATACCCCACATACAAGAGCAGGAAACCAATAAATTATGCTGCGGCTAACTTGCTCAAATGGTGGCGGTACTCTGCGCTCCTGACTTCCCACTTTTCCTGACTGCTATCAGGCTGGACACGTTGGATCCGGGTCCGGTGGTACTGCTCGCACACTCTATGGGAGGCCTGCTGGCGGTAGATGCGGCGACTGCTCGGACGCCGCAGTCTGAGAGGATCAAGGGCATCGTCGCTTTCGATGTGCCATACCTGTCGATGCATCCGCATGTCGTGATCAGCGGCATAGCTTCTTTATTCCCAAAGGATGACAAGAAGCGTAAGACGGAGGCAGAGCTCAATGACCCGGAGCAAGTTAACATCGTAGATCATAAAGTCCTTGGAGAAGATCGCCTTTCACCTATGCCGTCCCCCTCTGGAACGTCCACACCAGACGCTTCGTCTTTAGCTTGTGAGCATGTTATGCTTTGGCGACACTCACGGTGCTGAGGATATACCTGCGCAGCTGCCCGGTCTCCGTCTCCTAGTCTATCTCCCAGATCGACGCGGACCTCTTCCCCTTTGGAACTTCTAGACAAAACCTCGTCTTTCATAACGAAACTTGCGGACGAGCCCATGGTCAAGTTCTTTCGGAAACACTCGGATGAGCCATTCAGTGCTATGAAGAGATGGGTCGTCGAACACTTCGAGTTCGGGCAGTGCATGTTCGAACCCTCCGGTCTCCTTGAGCGATACCGTGCTCTCGAAGCATGGAACGGCTTATGGGTTAATTACTGGACGGAGACCGTGCCTAAGCCGGGGTCCTCGGCTTCGATACAAGACCCATTCGAGAAAGAAGGTACTACTCCGTCATTAACTACGGCGGACATGGGCAGAATGTCTTTGGAGGATACAGGCGGAGATCTCGGGGCGGATGCGTGCCCTCTTACGAAAGAAGAAGAGAAGGAGCGCTCGAAGCAGCTCAAGAAGGCCGAGAAGGAACTCAAGAAACAGCGGGACATAGAGAAGAAAGCCCAGGAATCGCGTCCGCCGAGACACTTCATCGTGCTGCCCGGGAGGTTCAACGGTCACGCGCGACACAAGTGGCTCAGAGTGCCCATTGCCGGCGCGGAAGACGAAGTGCAGGCCCACTGTGGTCTGTTCATCAAAGACCAGAACTTGGACTATGAGGCGTTCGTGGATGGTGTCGGTGACCTTTTGCGATCCTGGTGCCGACTGATCGCTTTCTCTTGATCGATGGTCTGCTGTACCCCGTTCAGTCTCGCGATCCGCCTAGCGGGAGCCGGGCTGGACCCACACTATCGTGATCCCGAGGTAGAGGGTCCTTGCCCTGACGCGCGTGTGCAGTGGTTCTCGCAGTGGGTCATATCTTGTGGAGTCGATGGAGGACTCTTTGCTCCTGAGTGGCCGCTGTTATGACATCTTGAGCTGCAGTTTACATCTGCCGTGCGTCACATTGATACCTGCCTTGTTGTCCAGTTATGACTGTATTCACGTCGACGTCCGGATATTTCGAGCAGGCTCTGTACAACAGGACATTATCAACAACATCTGGTATGCTATGGGTGCCACGCAATTCTCGGCGTTCTTGGGCGTCGGGCATCATCAGTACGATCAGGTATGTTACAGGGTGTCATCCCCGGCGTTCTTGAGAGCCCGACAATAGTCACGTTGAAAAAGTCTGTTTCGAACGCGTAGTGCGTGCTACTGATTATCAAACCGTCTGATAACAGATACCATGCGCTCTATTGTCCACCTAATGGGGACAAGGCGTACTTCTGCACATCGGCTCTTACCACGTGTAGGCACCATTGCGGAGAACGATTCACTCCCGCGAAACTAGATGCTCAGTTGTTGCTATCAGTTGCAGGTCAGCCTTCTCACCTTCATGCTCCAGAACAATGGTTATTTCATCAAGACTGTCTAGACCGGGTCCGTGCCATACTCCCCGCACCGCAAGCTGATTTTTTGTCCTTCTACGGCATAGTGGTGACTTAAAGTCAGGATGTATCGCAGGGTCTCTTCGCAGTTCTCGGGTGAACGACGGCGTCCCTTTTTTGCGGTGACAAACCAGGGACCCACAGACAACCTTGTGCCTTTGGGCCGCCGTTATAGAGAACTTCTAGATTGGGTGCCATGGCCCTATATAAAGGCAGCAAGGCGCTCATTGCTCTGAGCTACTCCATCTGAAGGAACTGATAAACCCCACTTCATTCCGCCATGAATTTCCTTCCTAAGAAGATGGGTACGATAGTCAATCTCTCGGCATGTCCCGAGAGTCGACCGTTCACGCCCAAATATGTCGTTTTACCGGCTGGATGCAAGATTGTACTGGGTCGAGCTTCTGGCCAAGGAGAGCGAGTAGCCAGCCCATCGAACGGCTGGTTTCCACCCCTCGATGACAGCGGTCGCGAAACAGGCGGTGGTCTAGGAGACTCGGAGGACCTACCGCTCAGTCCTGCGCATGCGGAATTATGGGCTGAAAATGGACATGTGAGTCGCCCCTTCGTCTTAGCAGGCTGCGTCTGGGAGGCCTGATACTTGTTTATTTAGGTGTACATACGGGATCTGGGATCCAAACATGGGACATATGTTAACGACGTCAGAATAACCGGACCTAGCCCACTGAAGACGGACGATATTCTGGTATGTGCGGGTGTACGTGTCGCGTCGTCAGGATACGCCCGCTGAGACTGCTTGTAGATCCTTGGGTTTGAGTTACCCCGCTCTGCCAGTACTCCGAGACATCTCACGAGCCATGACCTAAAACCGATTGTGGCAAAAGTACACGTCGTGGGCGATACGTCAAAGTAGGGAACTACTTCTATTGCAGCTATTCTCCCGTCGGAGGAGCAGCTCCATAAAAAGCGGACCATCTGCTCCTGCCTTCCAAACACGGTGTGAATGGGGTTGTGCGCCACACGCTCCATTTTCGAGTGCCAGTTGGATGCAGCCGCAGAAAGGCGGTGCGGGGCTATAACGGTGTTTGTGAAGAGTGCTAGGTGTGCTATGAACATCACAATGTCATACGAGCGGTACTATGATTGTGGGACTGGTTCAAGTTGAATCGAGGCTTAAGCTTGCGCAACATGATCGGGTGATCATGACCTGCTCGGCTGTCGAGGGTCTACTAACGACTGCACTTTGCCGGCGGTGACCTGGGCTGTCGGCTTGTACCCATCTGAATGGTGCATTAGGGCGAGCTTAATGCTGACGGGAATGAAGTCTCGATGCGCAGCTTCAAGACAACTATGTCCGAGTTCTGTCAAGAAACGTCCGTTCAAATCTACTAGTAAACATATATGTTCAGCATAGGCAAGCGTCACCGCACCCTCCCACAATTCATCACGTATCTTACAGCTTACAGAACACCTTTGATAATGTCGGCAGCTAGGGGTGTAATGTAAGTAGAGGCAATTATTTACAGATATTATGCACGTACCCTGCTCGCCGATAGCGTAAGCGGTAGCTTCGAAGTTTGCCATCAATATCCAATCGCAGAGAACGTCTGTATTTACTCACCCTGTGGATGCGCGGCAAAATGGAGCGGGATGACAGACAAGTCGGCCACCCGGACATTGGTCGTGCCATACACCTATAGAGAGAACGTTCGGTGTCAGGTCGAGTTGGCGGATTGGGAATGTCCCACCTTCAGCTTGGAATCGACCACACCTCCTTTGTCCTTCGGAAGCATTGAGCAAGATCCAATAGTGTCTGTCATAAACGTTATTCCGGGCATACCACGTACTCCTACTACATTCACTCACGGTATGTCGTCGTCATGTAAGACTTGAGCCAGTCTGAATAGAGGCTCAGCTGCAGCAGTTCAGAGTTGAACACAGAGCTGCTTACCTGCGATCTGCTCATCCGTTGTGACCTCTGGCCCGGGATTCACTTCCTGCGCTGCATAAGAGCGTGAATGAAACTTCATAGATACAGCCATCAGGGGCATGACCGACTTACCAACCAGATCCTTAAATGGTGCGGTCTGAGCCAGCCCCTTGGCGAACTTGACTATCTCGACGAACGTATCGCGATCTGCGTACAAATGAATGTAATGCTACCAGATGAATATTTGCCTTGGCATACCTATCTCCTCTTCGAAATAGTGAGGATCGAACTCTGGATCATCCTCCGGATTCTTTGATTTGACGTGCTAAAGCAGTTGAGTAATAAGCAATGCGCCTTGGGACGATGACATCGTGAATTACTATAGTGCCCCGAGAGAATAAGTGGTTCGTCAAGACAAGCATAGTCAGGTACTTCTTTCCCGGCTTGGGCGGGTCTGAAGCGAATCTGCTTAGAATAACAGCTCCGGGTACCACGGGAAGAGCAACGTACTCGGCTGAGACAAGAAACCAGGGAACGTGATGTACTCGCACCCCGGAGCGCCCCTCTCTAGTCGCTCCAACTGGATACGGTACTGCTCGAGCAAGCCAGAAGGATACTTCGCGGCATTCTTCTCAATTTTGTCTCGGGCAGCTTTGTGTATATCGTCGGCGCGCTTCGAGAGCATTTGCAAGGGAACAAACGCGAAGCCGCACAATCCCATGGTGAAAAGGCCCTCGCCCTTAGCGCTGCGCGTCATTAGACAAGACCAAGGACACACAATGGCGGATACTTACTGGAGCTCTACGTGCTCAGCAGCTATCTTCGGATCCCTCAACACATCGAGCGTATCAAAGGAGGCATCCTCACGGAGCTCTGCAAAGCATGTCAACGGAGCGAGCAAGCGAGCACAAAGTGACACTCACCCCAGGTCACTCCGGTGAAAATATGCTCTTGTACGTTCTCGCCAATGGTTGACAAAGGTAAGACGACTGGTATGTCAAGGCTCTTGAGGAGCTGTGGGTTGCCGAACCCCGAAAGCTCCAGTATTTGAGACGACTTAAGGCCCCTAGCGATGGAAGGAAGAAGCTGTTTATCATAGCATTCCGCATCCCGCACAGCTTAAATCTTACCCTGCGCACAACACCACCTCTTTGTTCGGCCTTACACTATAGTCGCGGCCATTGTGACGGAACTCAACGCCAACAGCGATCACTAGCCCATTGCTATCTTTGGTCGTCAATAGCCTGTTTACCGGAGCTTGGACGAGAACAGTGAAGTTGGGCCTGTTAACGTTAGGCAGATAGAAGGCCTAGCCAGTAGGTATCCGTGAGCGCGATATCAACCGAAGTGCTTACGTACCCACTCACCGTCGTGGCATATGTACGAGTCGAGGTCTTTGGGTCGACTGTATTCGTACCGAAGAAAACGCCGAGTGGCTGCTAGATAGTCAGACAAGCTCCTCATCAAGAGAGTATCGAGTAGTTGAACTTACATCACCTCCGAGCTAAATTTTTCGGAGTCGGCAGTTGGTCTGTGGTTAGTTGAGTGACCAATTCCGAAGTAACGGTGGTCTTACAGGCTTCTTAGCCAGAGGGAGGCCACGGTTGATCAAAGTCTGCAGATATGAATTGAGCACTGGGAAGCTGTCGATACGCAGGGACGGAAGGCTACCTGCTGTATATCGAGCTCTGCAGCGTTAATTTTGGCAGGGAAAGAAGTCAATAGGGGTCCTAGGGTTCTCCCTATCAGTGTGTTCTTCCGCAAACCCGGTGGTGATGACTGACCTTCGGTGCCGTTCTTCCAGTCCTCTATGCGTAGACCGTGCTTCTTGATAACTTCCTCTGAAGGGTAGATGCAGCTTGGGTATCATGAGTACGCAAAGCTTATTGCTTAGGTGCAGTTACCCACGTCTCTGTTCTGTGGGAGAATGTTTCATAGTTCTTCCAATTCCAGCCCGGATTACCGAGCCGCTCGATATCTTGAACAGAACGTGGAGCCAATTATTAATCGGCAGCCCAACGCCGACTTACCATCAATCTCTGCTGCGGGAGGCTTCGTCCAGCACAGGAAGTTGATAGCAGAACTCCCGCCGAGACCCTTCCCTCTGTGCACAGCTCAGGTGGGCAACATAAAACCTCGGGGAGAGGGTGTCCTCACCGATTCCAAGTGAACTGGGTCCCATTGCAATACTTCTGCGGCGTCTTGATAGATGGTCTCGAGAGTCAGATTCCCGTATAGACGGAGATGTCATGCATACCGTTTTGAAAGCCCAGTCATATGCTGGATTCTCGAAATGACTTCCGTACGAAGCGGGGCGCACTGTTCCCGCCCGTCAAAGCTGTACCTGCGCAGGTAAAAGTGAAGCACATACGCAGGAGAGGGTCGTCCAAGTTGGCGTTACCGGCTTCCAGGACGAGCACCGAGACGGTGGGGTCCTCGGAAAGGCGAGCAGCGACACAGAGGCCAGATGTCTAAAGAACAGTGAACACTCCGGAGTGCCATATAGAGGCTGCCCTACCCCTCCACCTGCGGGGGCTCAACGAATAAGTCATAAAGAGATGTTCAAGTATACTCACCTATCACGATGTAATCAAAGCTCTTGTCAGCGACGTCTTCGATATTCGCTACCATCTTCAAGTGCTAATGCTCTGTGAAGCTTTGTGCTGCAGGCTTATCTGCTAAGCACGTAGAGGTTTGACGGCGCCTGTCAGGTGCACCATCCCTTTATATGATTTCCCTTGTAATATCTAAGAACCGTATCGACGGACCGCTTGGGACCCCATTCGGTAGAGACTTCTGTTCGGAGTATGCGACGGGTGAAATCATCGTTATTTACGTGAAAGAGGACCTACATAACTATCAGACTTTTACGGAAGATCCTGGGTAGCCCGTCCCGTAGAACGGTCATGAGCTTCTAGTCCGCATGAGGCTGATTGCGCATCACGAGACCGCTGGTCGAAACTGTCGTAAAGCCGAGTTAGGTTAAGTTCATGAAATAGGTACCCATGTCTAGATCTAGCACCTGAACACATAGTCAGGCCAAGTCTCCTGCCTAATGGTAGACCAACTGCCCGATACAGAGCTCTCGCAGTTCTACAGGTGTCAAATTGATGCTAACGGCGTCACCAACACGTTGCCCTGCAGCGCGCAGCTTCAGAGATTCATCCACTCTTCCTTACCCATATAGCCGAGCCTGAGGGTTGCCGGAGGACCCCTCCTTCCCAGGAAAATGAGTACGAAAGTGACTTACATCAGGAAGAAGAGCCATCGTAGCATACTAATATCATGCTGCTGTATCGTCCTTACTGTACATGTGCGCTATTGCACTTTGGACTTGCAAAAACAGCGTTGGACAATGGAGACTTGTTATGCGGGCCTTCAGCGCTGTTCGCGCTTGAACCTGAACTTACCGGCATCTTCCGAGCATCCAAGATCCCCGCCGGAACTGACAGCTGTCCAATCATCGTACAAGTCCTGGCGTCGTAGCCTCGTAGGCCGCCGACCCACTCAGGCGTCAACGTTCCCGTTCCGTTGATTCCTGGTGCCCACAATATCATGTAGGAGGCGATGTACGCTCGACTCTTTCGGGGCGTCAACTTATTGACAGTCCGGGGCTGGTAGTCTCCCGACTGTTTCATGTCGGTCCAATGCTGAAAGGGTTTGCCCCTCAGGCCCCATACAGCCCTCGAAGAGATTGATGGTGCAACGTTTAATGAGCTTGGTATGTAGGTGGATAAATAATGTTTGAGAGCCGGCTGAGGCTCCTTGGTAATTGATGGAGACCAATAAACTCACCGATTGGATCGCTTCGAAGCTTTTGGACTCAATACAGATCGGATATCCGCAAAATGCGGGGTACTCAGATATTTCAGGGGTCATAATACGTGAGAACATCTGGTTTGACCTGAGATTGATCGAGATTCAGATATTCCACCGACTCGTCGTGCAGATTGGGCGGCTTCAGATTGTCGTGAGTGCCTAGTCTTGGTCCAACTGGTGCGGTTAGCAGCTGTCATTCCAATATTCAGAGGTCCATCCGGTACAGCTACTCACACAATCTTGTAGCAGCTCGACATTCAGGATCATCAGCAGATCCTCTCCAAATTATGGTAAGTGACGTACGGCATCGCAAACCTCGTATCCATGCATCCCTCCCGGATGCCTTCTTCTCTACCGCGCATCTCACTCCGTTCCCAGGCTATCTCGATATCCACTGCGCCCACTCAGGCCGTATATATGAGGCCCACGACGTGTTTCGTAGAAAGAATTGTACGCTCCCCTACCCTCTTACCTTCGCCCTGTCTACTGCTGAGTCAAGATGGGTAGTGCAGCAGCAGTAGCGTGAGCCTGTCCCTTGGCCCTGCTCATGGCGGTTTTACAACGTTTTCCGTTCCACCACAGGCATGGGCCTTCGCTCATAGGCTTATTCTTCAACATCCTACTCTATGGTATCATGATCACGCAGACGTTCCTGTACTTCCATGCCTTCCCGAAGTAAGCTTCCTCACCACTAACAAGGAGTTGCACAATGGCTAACCTCTTGATTCATAGTGACCGCCGATGGATCAAGCTCTTCGTACGAGGCACTGTTTCCCCCGCAGAGACCTATCGACTGAATGGCTTGTATTTCTCCCCGACAGGTCTCAGTCCTGTTCCTGGCCGACACCGTCAATTCAATCTTTGACTGCGTCTTCATCTACCAAGCTGTCATCATTCACTTTGGTGCGATTGATTTTGATATGACAATGCTAAGCCGTGTTGAGTATTTGGAGTAAAGGGGATGATGACTTCGTCGCTAACGCGAACTGGGGTGAGTTCTATGGCTAGTTCACAGCACTTCAACTGACTATCATGGCATTGTTCCCAGTCTTTGCGACAGGTATGATCTGCGTCCATGTCGCTCTTGCACGGACTGAATATTTGCCTTGCAAGATCCTGCTATGACGGTAAAGCCTAGACCCGCTTGAGCGAGGCGAAGACTGACTTCCTTTACAGGGTATCATCGCAGCCATGGTGCAACTATTCTTTGCGTGGAGAATAAAGATATTGACGGGAAACAACTACCTCGTCGGGATCGTTATCGTAGCTGCCATCACGGGAATGTGTAAGCCTCCCAAGAGGACAGATATATCGCCTTCACGTGCATTGCTGATTCCATACCTCTTCGGATCCAGTCGGCGGGCTTGGGACTGCAGTAGCCATCAAGTTCGTACCGAAGTTTATCGAGTTCCAGCGGTTCGAGCCAGTTGTCATCGTCTGGCTTATCGGCAACGCCATCTGCGACATCATCATCACGAGTGTGCTTACCTGGCACTTGGTATGATGTTCGTTCTCCTTCCTCTCTCTGCTTTGGGCTGAGCGGCTGGCTTCAAGCGAAGGCACCGGACAGGCTTCCCTGCGACAGATGACATTGTCAACAAGATTATTAGATGTGCGTGGCTTGCTCTTTCTGGAGACGGTTCCTTATTGTTGGACAGTGACCGTCCAGACGGGGATGCTCACCTGCATCGTGGCACTGTTTGACACCGTCTTCTTCGTCGCCAGTGTAAGTGCCCAGATGCACACTTAATCACCGCTCACTAACGTGCCGGTTCTAGTCCTCTGGAATGTCAGTGCATGCTTCTGTGAATTGTCTGCCTGCTGACCGCCGGTGCGCTTGACAGACATATTGGCTTCAACTTCCCGTTATCGAAGCTGTATACGAATTCCTTGATGTCTACTTTGAATTCTCGGACGGGCTGGAAGTATAACCGGACCACTGAGCCCAGCGGGGAGGAATCGGGAGCTGTCAGTGGCAATCGGGGTGGTCGGAATCGGAAGGTATGACAGTTCAAAATAAGTCATGCCTGTCGCTAAATCAGTATTGCTTACAAGCAGCCCGACGTGCTCAACCTCTCTCAGGGCCGGACACCAGAGGCACGCGTCAAAAGCTGATCATAAGTTGACAGTACTGATGATTGCCGGCCGTGGTTCTAGGTTTTTGTCACGGTCGAGTCCCATCAAATGGTGGACATGGACAACAAGACGGGCGCCATCACCGAGGCCGAAGACGATGTCGACCATTCGACGTATCACCAGGAAAGACAGAAAGAGTGAGTTCTTCTATACTTGGAGGGATCGTCAGTTTGTAGACTGACTTGAAGTAGCGTGTCATCGTTCGCGGTATAGTGCATGATGTGTCAAGACTGTCACGAGCGTTTTAGGAATATGTCCTATTTATCTGCATACAGAGGAGGCTGGGTAGCGCGCTGAGAGTGCACTGTCAATGTGTATTGTTACCTTCCCGTAGAACCTTGGATTATGCACCGTTGACCCTGGTACAGGTGTACCAGTACTTCCTGTAATACCGGACTGTCAGCTGTAGGGGATGTGCACATGCATATATATATATATATACGGATATTGACCGTCACCATGATTGTGGCGGAGAAGCGGTTCTGTCTAACTTGATAAGCTGGGTACAGTGATTGCCGCACAGCTGCAGGAATCCGAGTCTTGCCATTATAGGGTCAAGTTCGACGCACATTCAACGACGTTCAGGCTAAAGACTCCGGGATGTCGTCCCAATGAAAGGATCTTCGGCCGCGAAGTAGGTAATACGCGTATCCCCAGGTTGCAAAGGGAAGTCCAAATATTACAGCGGTGGATCCGGACGATCCATGATTGACACTGAACCTACTCATGGAGAATCATACCTTCGCGAGGCGTCTTGCTTATCTGGCGAATAAATGGCTTCCTCGATATTCATGACAAGGCCGCGGAAGGTACAGACTTGTGGGCGGGTGGAGGTCCGAGTGCGGTGGGTGTGGCTTATGAGTACCACAGCTACATTGCCACATCCAGTAAAGGCGACTTGGGGTCGGGCATATCTTCCTTCGTCCGATTTTTCATTTCCGTTAGTTAATGACTTCTGGACGGACCTTGAGCTTGTACGACATCGGAAGGATGTAGCAGTCTTTGATGCGAATAAACGGATCGGCTTGAGCTGTATACAGCTTTTGAATACACCCATATTCACGAAGATACACGGTGCTGGACCGATAACAACATACTTCGCCTACGTCGGCGTCCCCGTTCCCAATACAACATCCTCCCTTACATCCTGCTGACTATCCATAGAATGCCATATAGACGGCGTTGGCGTCTTTCGCCCGTCAATCGGTAATTACTCTATTGACTTGACGCGACGTCATACCTCCGACAACACTGCTTCATTTTGAGGACGTTTGCAAACGCGGTGTCACAGTATGAGGCCTGTACCTCTCAAATTCGCACGGAGTATTGAGTCTTGTACTGTGCGAAAAAGTGTTACGCAATGGACAGACCCGTACAGACGAGAGGTGCTTACCATCGGCGAGGATCTTCGTCGTCGCCTCGATGTCCTGTAATGCAAGGAATTCATGATTACAAGGTAACTCGAACCTGCGACAGCAGTCGGCACGTACAACTACCGAGGTGAAGTGCGCGTAAAACTCTCGTTTCTGCACAGAGTGATCCTTATGTATCTGTGCGAACTTTCTCCGCAGATCTACAAACAAATCAAGAACCGGAATCATTAAAAGGACAGCTATCTGTGGTTATGGTTGCCACAGAGATGGCACGGCACTCACACGTCGATGTGCTCTCAAAGTCGTTCGGGCGATCGCCGTACGAGACGATGTACTTCGACAGCTTGATCCCGGCCGCCAATTTGCGCCGCATGATGTCGCACTTGTTCAGGAAGAGGATGATGTTCGTTCTGGCGAGGACCGGGTTGGAGACGATCGATTTCCACAATAAAACCGAGTCTTCCTAATACAATGTAAGGAGTTGTTTCAGGTGGGTGAGTTCGAGGGAGGAATGGGGGGTGCCTCACTAGTCGGTTCACGGACGGGTCTTCCTCGAGCACCTGGTCAAAACAGCTAATGGGCGCCAGGAAGATGATGGCATCCATGTCGTCGAAGAACGGTACCCAGGCAGCTGTACCAGGGCATGAACACCTCCAATTCATTCCATGCGACTATCAACATACCTCTCTACCATCGGTTGTATCAGTAAGCTCCTCGCCGTGAAAGGAAGTTGCGAAGACTCACGCAAGATCGTTGACCGCCAACATCATACAAGCGCCAGTCGCGACTGATTGAGTTCCCGACTGCATTGCTCGTGAGACTGCGTGGGACGAAAGGAGAAATACAGTACAAACCGCCTTTGACCGTAAAGCGATACTCTGTAACGCCGAGAGTCTTGATCCTTGCTCGGACGATGTCCGCTATATTACGAGGTCTAGTCACAATCGCGGCTCCACGCACAGAAATAAGACTACTTACCGTCCGACGGCATGTAGTTGAGGTCAGTCACTCTCTCTAGGTCATCTAAGAAACTACCGCACGTTCAACCGCTGGGAACTCAGATAAACGCGCGGCGACTCACAAGCCAGGCATCTCCTCCAGCCTCAGCTTCAGCCGATCCAACACCTCCCTTACTATTGGGTCCTTCCACAAGCGAATCATATCATCGCTGCACGCATGCAGCACATGGCTGGGTTCGTCGGGCTCGAGGCCCTCATCCCTCACATCTGTGCTATTCCTCGCTTCGCCACTCAGCAGGCGGCTGAACTTGGTCCCCCATGCGCACGAGTTCACTGCAATTTCCTTCACGCCCTTGCCGCGGGGGCGCTCGGGATTGGGCAGGTTCGTCAGCGCGGTGAGATACGGCGCGCCGAACACGGACGACCCCTCCGGGTCGAGGGCGCGCAGGAGCGTTTCCTCGATCTGTATGAGCGGCGACAGCTTCATCTTGAGGAGGAGCAGCTCGGACGTGAGGTGCGGCATGTTGGGGTCGGGGTCGGGGTCGTCGGCGGGGCGCAGGCGCGGGGAGACGGAGGGGGAGGAGGTCGCGGGCGATGTCGTGGCGGCTTGGGCTTCAGCCATGGCCTCGAGGATGAGGCGGAAGGAGCGGACGATGTTCAGCTGGATCACGGTTCGCCATTGAGCTCTCTCGGCACGGAACGCCTAGTGGTCGCGAGCGGCGGTTTAGCGCGCTGGGCTTGGTTCAGTCGCATGTATGCTCACCTTCCTGGAGTTCATGAGCTGGAAGTCTGGCAGTGTATTAGCGAGAGTATCATTTCCAGACGTAGTTACTCACTCTTCAGAGTAGTGGATTTCCCTGTGCACCCGGACATTGTCAGGCGCTACAACATGTCATCACGAGATGGGCTGATCTACCTGATTCACTTTGGCCTAACAAGAGTACCTTGACACATCTCTCTCGTCTCTGCTCTGCTCTCTGGCGGCTAATCTCCTCGTCGATTGCATCTGAGATGCGCTTTGCGTTTTCCTCCTCGCGCAACCTTGCCGCCCGCTCAGCGGGCATTTCATCCGGGGGCGGGGCCAGCAAAGCTGAGAACGGGTCGTCCGACATGGAGACTCTGACGGGCATGATGTGCAGCGTTGTTTGAACGACGTCCTAGCAGGGTATAAGCAAGCTTGAAAAACTGACCAGGGCCGGGGAATGTGGCGTCAAGACAGAAGAACGTTCGAAGAAGCCAGACTGCCATAAGGTTCATAAAGGAAAGCCGTAAAAGGATTTCCGAGACCTGGGACTCACTCGCTGTCGGCGTCTCTCGAGATCTGATAGGCAAGCGGGTCCAGCTTTGGCACGCCTAAAGCTAAGAATACTGCTCCCGACTCCGAGCCTGCCTCCTGAATGCTATTTCTCCTCGACGACGGGCCCTAGCAATCCCTGTCAAGCTGGGACGCGTTCTCCTTTGCGCGACGTGTGCGACAGCGTAGAGTGATGGGTGCTCGTGTGAGGGGCAAGTTTGACTTTTTCCTCATTTCTTTTTCGCAGCGTAACTGGGTGGATGGCGGAGAATCGGAAGTAAAGAAGCGTCGTTTGCAGGGTCATCGCGCGGGGGAATTTGCGCTTCGGTTACCGTGGCGCGCGTCCATACGGTTTTCTCTTTCCTGCTCTCGTCATGAAGACTGCATTGCCTAGCTACCAACCGTCAAAACTATTCCAGAGGCACTATACTAGAAATTCTGTCTGGGATCTCTGCCTTGGGAATCTATATTCCTAAACTCACTTGGAAGTGCAGAAAGAAAACATGGAAGCATGCGTCGTGGGTACCCAGGCCGTTCAATGTACCCAATTTTACATCATTCGTCAGGCCTCAGGCCCGAGACAGGCACCTCCAGCCGCAAGTTCCACCCCTTCAAGACAGCCGAGGCCTACAATGGCATGCGGGTGATTGAAAACTGAAATATACACAGGTAGGTTGCTACACAGCGTCATGATCTTCCCATCACAGGAATGGCGTTGAGTCGGTCCTCGGACTCAATTTAACGCGTCAGTCAGCCTTTGAATGGTTTCCCTGGCACCTGGGGTCATGAACGGCGGTGCGTCCGCATCACAAGACTGATGCGACGACCACAGCCAAGCCTCCACTGTCGCTGTCTTGACTACGTCTTTCCTCTGAGGAGCTGGACAGAACCTTTTCTGCCCATGCCAGCCTGATCTACCTCAGAGGATTTGCATAGGACCCTCGTCTAGCCAAAAGCGGGGTCGGGGACCCTGCATTATGGTCAAAGTCGTAGCGCGTAAGTTAGCCCGTAGCATGGCGCGGGAACTGCATATACGACGGGGTTTCATTGCCCTGATGGACGAGATTATGCAAATGCACGAGTCTCGACGCAGTGGGAGTACCCAGAAACTTCGTATATGCGCGCTGTATGCGCTCGATTTCTGCATCGGCCGACAAGACGTCGACCCGAGCCTATTGAACAAGGACTCCGCATAGACCAGGGGTCCCAGATAGTAACAGAACAGTTGCCTCACGTACCGAAGCTTATATGGCAGACGGTTGCGCCAAGCTCCATAGCCACTTCAGAAAGAGGCGTCGGTCTGCGAAACCTGTCGATCGTGCTTTCGCCTCGAGACCCGGGTGATATGCAAGTGACGTCCAGTGCTGTGATATACACGCCAGAAATACACGGACTGACCTGAACCATATGAAGTCGGCAAGTACGAGCAGACTGGCGGGCGAGACAGAAGCACGAAACTCGTCGTAGGGACGCTGGGCGTTTTATCCGATGTAACAAATGACCAGAGCTGGAGATTGGAAGTAGAGTTATGTCCGCTAGGGTGAGTGAGTGATACCAGTTTGTATGTGTCCTGCCCTCCGCTCGCATGTACCTCCTCACTGTTCACCCGACACCATTCCAGGGTGGGGACCAGGGCTTGCGCCAAACGGTTCAGGGACACTGATTGATCACAGGGGCGGTGGAGATTAACCTTGATAGAACAGTGTGAACGTCAGCATACAGGCATCACATCGACCGCCGCGAGCTTTGCCCGATAGGCAAGACCGTAGCAAGACTAAGAAGCAGTAAGTCCAGGGAGCGTGAAACGAGAACAGTGAGAACCGACAGAGCTTAGAATGAATGGCGGAGGCGATACCACAAAACACAGAGCATCTAGAGTCACAACCAACGGAGCCGAGCGCCAGAGTCAGCGCAATAGCAGATCGGGGTCCTGTGGGCAGGAGACAAAACCAGTTCATATGCCTCGACTGTCGACAACTGCGCGTGCGCCACCAGGTGCGTCTCGTTCGCGTTCGTTTGCATAGAACAGGCTGCATTACTGCCCTGACTGAGCATGATGACCCAGACAGGCACAAGAAGTGAGCAGGGCCAAATCAACATAAGGATGACTGTCAGCAGAGGCTTGTTTCGGCTGCCCTGACTCAACCGTCTACCTGCTTGCTGTTCGCGTTATATCACCGCGGCATTCAGGATACCAAGCATTAGCAACCTGAGGCGAGCTCAAGCAAGGCGTGCACTAACCGCTGCGGACCCGGAATTCAGGTAGCGGGCGCTATATCTGCTTGTCGTTCGCGCGGCGTCAGCCCGGCATCCCAGAACCCACAGCCAAAGGAGGAAGACCGAACCAGGCAGTACGAGTCCAAGGGAAGCTGAAACAAGGCAAGAGCCGGCATTTGGAGATAAGTGACGGAGATACTAAGACGCGGCGTCCGGTATGTAGAGTTCCAACGAACGCAGTCCAGGACGTGAGTCGGCAGCAGAGCGGATCGATACGTCCGGTGATCATTCAGGGAGCTATGGGCAGGATACGGGCAGGATACGAAACCGATTCCAAAGCCACAAGGCGCCGGCGACGTATCGACATCGCTTTTACATTACATCGCGCCGATGTAGCGGGTCGGCGGAGCCTACCAAGATCGGAAGCCGGTATCTAATTTTTTCGTACAGATGCGTGGAACAAGAGAAATCGAGAGGAGTACCACGAAACCCGACGGAAGATCTCTTCGTCAAGCCTGCGCTGGGGAACAAAAATTCATAACCGGAGCGGTCATATGTCAGGACGCCGAGGGATGGATTGGCTTACGGTACCAAAGCTCCCCTAAGCTCCCGCAGTCTTGAAGGGGTTCGCTCAAGAGTAACGTACCCGACTGGGAACAAGAGGTGCCGGAAAAGGGAGGCAGATATACGAAGACACTACTGTTCGGATACAACAGATCGTGCGTACAAACGCATCGCCCAACCTCGCAGCTCGGCGATGCGGGGAGCCGGGGAAGCCTGGAGCATTCTATCGGGGTTCGCTCCTCCGAATAAAGGTGATTTCGCTCCAGCGAACCCGTCAGGGTTGTCCACTGTAGGTATCTCGGGACCGGATCAAGGTCTTGACATTAGAGTTTGGCAACGAAATCTACACCAGGAGGCGATGAAGATCGGGCAGCATTGCTGTAGTGATCACAGAAAATTGTATCGGGAATACAGCCAGAAACAGAAGATGAGGCAGCAAGAAAAGCCCGAGACAGACGTCATTGGTATCTGGAGTTAGTCTCCGCAGAGGAGCAGAACAGTACCGAGGCCGAGGTATCTTGAGATGAGCTAGCCAGATGGTCCGTGAGGGATGGAACAGATGGTGAGCGAATTTTTGTTCGGGCGTCCGTTGGCGAGCGCCAAGCAGATATAGCCTACGTGTGATTGATTAGTTTGAGCGGTGGACACTTGATAGGGAGATTATCGAGGAGCGACGGGTGTCCGACAAGCGTGACCAGACCTGAAAGTCTGACAGTAGCAGCAGCGTTGCCTGGAAAATGCTAAGTTGATAGTGTTCTAGGGCAACTGAGGGTTCTCCGCCGCGCACGGGCATGTAGGCCTCTGAGTTACTTTACCTGGTAAGCAACGTCTGGACCTGTGAATCGAAATGTAACGATGGCATTTCAGATGTTCTCTTGTCAGCCACCAGCGCAGCTCCGTACACCCCGGGAGCGGGCAAAGGCGAGAGACCTTACAGAGATGCACAAATGCGGAGACAAAAGACAAGATGCAAGAATGCTCGGACAGCGCCCCGGGGTAAGCTGGGTCCACCGCAGCACAAGACGTTACCCAGATGGTTGTGTTCCGACCACCACGAAACGTTTCTTTACGGGTGAGAGCCCCGGTCGGGTCGGAGGAAGGTTTGTGGTCGCCTGCTCGATGAACGTTTATTCCTGGGAGGCCTGTTCATCCAAGCAGCCAGATACGCTAACGACCTTGCATTGCAGCGCACCGCCTGCATCACTTGCAATTGTCAAGCGGTGTTGCATGGAAGTAGAGTGATGGTGGTAGGAGGAAACCAATTACCGCTTGTTGCCGGGCCACACGGCCAACACGCGCTGCTTAGTCAGCAGCCCCCCTCCTCCGGATCTGCCAGCAATCTCATCCTGCCACTAGACCGTCGGAATCAGAGCGATCAGAATATCTGTTAGTGAATGCCCCGAGGACCATGGACTATGGAGGGGCTTTATAAAATGCCCATATTTTAGGTTCTCTCACTAATTGACCCCCTTCTTCACCGTTACACGTTCCACAATGCACTCACCATGGGTTTCGCTGCCTGCAGAGATGAAGCTGGCCGTCATCGACCTCCTCGAGGTCGACCAAGCCAAAAACTTTGCGTTTGTTAGCCGAGAAACGCGTCGACTCTGCGCAACTGCCATTTTCCAGGTGTGTTAACTATCACGATCATTTAGGGAGCTGGGTCTGATTACGGCTGTAGTCTGTTATTCTCAAGAGTCACGAAGACTTGGTTGATTTCCTGCGCGACGTACCAGCCGCGTACTACCCGTTCATTCGTCGACTCGACGTCTGTAGCAAGTCTACGCAAGACCGATCAGGCGTTCCTTCGCGGACAGAGGCTGTAACCGCCCTTCTCCGCCACTGCACGCAGCTTGAGCGCTTGTCACTTCGCCTTGAGGGTTCACTCGCCAACAATGCTATCAGCTGCTTTTGTTCCCTTCATTCCCTCAAGAATGTTTCCATTCAGAATTGCGGGGATGAGGCCTCGACTCCCATGTACGTTCAATAAATTGCCTGGAAGGATCATATCTGACTCGCCCCTTGTTTCCAGAAGCGAACGCTTCGTTGTTTCCATTGCAGCATCAGTACCTAGACTGGAAGAGCTTTCTCTCTACCGCATCTCCCGGTCTACCATGCACGCGCCGGAGCTTGTCGGAGTTTACCCGTATGTTCCTGTGGTGGCGGGAGACGAAGACATCGAAGACCACCCGTTACTCGGTTCCGCGCTGTACCTTCCGTCTCTCCTCCGGATCCCGACCCTACGGAAGCTAGTTATCCGCGACACCCATCTGGGCGATCCTCGGTGGGCCACTGCACCCGTTGCGTGCCCTCTCGAGATTCTGGACCTCGGGAGCTCCTACCACGAGACGGACGAATTCAACCGCGTCTGCACCGAGCGCATCATCCGCAATGTTGGAGCAACCATTGACGAGTTCACGCTCAACACGTCCTTCGGCTCGTCCGAGGTCGACACGACCGTCACGCACGTGCGGCCCCAGGCGGAGCAACCACTGAAGAAGCTGCGCAAGCTGCACCTCACGCCGCTCGTGCCCGTCGACAACGTCGTCGACACGCTCAGCACGCTCGGCGGGTCGCCCATCGAGCGCATCTCCGTGCAGTGCTTCGAGTACGACGTCGCGGACGTGTGCACGGCGCTGCAGGACTTCCTTGCGCTGCGCGGCGAGCGCGCCGAGACGGGCTTCTACGCGCACCTCAACGAGATCCAGGTGACCGTCACCGAGGACCTCGACGCGCTGAGCTCGGTCATCGGCGGGTGCGCGATCCCGTGCGGCTCCGCCGATGCCGCTGCGCGTCTGCAGGCGTACTGCCGCGAGCTGCTCGGGGAGGGTATCATTGATGATGCTTCTATGGACTGCAAGCTGTCAGTGGATGGCGATGCGCTTGGCAAGTGTGAGCTGGTTGGGTAAACGTGCATAGGTTTATACCCCGTCTATTTTTATTCTGTATCATTATGGGACTTCAGTTGCGATACCTAGTGTTCTCTCGTGTATGTCTCCTCGTTATTATTAGATCTGTACAGCTTGTCGATATCATGATCGCGTTGGAATATCATAGCCTCCCGGCGAATCAAGCAGACATGGTGCACCTACCGTAAGACGTCGTCGTATCATGATGGAGGTAGAGCATGCCAGGTAAGCTTGGGTGCACGAGGTTGGAAGGAAACCAGGAACATTAACGGCTGCATCAAATGCACTAAGTATTACAACAATCTATATGTACAGTACAACAAGTTTACACAACCGCGCTCGCGACCGTATGTACAGTACATCTCACATCTACACCAAGCACGAATGTCGTCATGACTGCCTTATTGAATACTCGCGGCGCGTGCTCTGAGACTGCACCAAAGGCGTCTCCGAGTCCACGCTCGAGAAACTACTGTTGCTATCACTGCGCACCAAAGGCACGATCCGTCGCTCAGCCATCTGCGGCGTCTGCTGGGATGTCAGCGTGAAGGGCGTGATGCCGACCGCCTCGGGGGATGACAGGTCCAGCGCTTTGCGTGGGGTGCTGAAGGTGGGCAGGACGTTGGTGTCTGGCAGGAGCCGCTTCGTGGTGACGAGGAGGATGACGTTGATCAATCCTGAAGGGAAGAAACTTAATGATAATACAGATAGGGCGAAGGTGTGGGGAGTTGTTTTACCGTTCAGGTTGAAAATGAAGTCGCAGGCGATGGTTACCCAGGGTGGCAGGTTCATAGCGAGCTCGGTCATGCGAGCCAAGGCGATTGGGAGCAGCAACAGGCTATACGCGATCTGCAAGTGCATACCATCGTGGGTCGACAATCAACATCCGTTTCCCCATAGATGACATCGACAGACAGAGCACTCACAGGGTACCTGTCAAGCCACATTCGCTCAGCATTGCCTCGAAGTAGGATGTGAACGGGAAGAAAGGAACTCACCACACCATGTGCGCGGCGACGCGCACTATTGCAGAGTCGATGTAGTCGCGCGTGATCGCGAGCTGC